GAGGGAGAGGGAGAGGGAGAGAGAGCTGCAGCGATCGCCCATTCCCGTCTTGTGCCATCTCAGGAAGCAAGAGTTCGACGAGGCCCTCCGTGCCTTCCTGGCTGTCTTCAGGCAGGGTTCCAAAAGCCTAATTAGTGCAAAAGCCCTGCTTCAAGCCCAGCTTCGGAGGCTGCCCGGGGAGGGTCAGAAGATCGACCGGTTGATGCAGCACTTCGCCGCGAAGTACTGCAAAGATAATCCCGGGAGGAGCCACGCAGCTAGCGTACCATTCGTCACGGCTTTAGTCAGTGCAGTCTGGTGTGGAGGTTCTCCGATGAGGATTGCGTCTACGTACTGGCCTATTCAGCCTGACTCTCAGAGAAAAAATCGGAAGAGGAGCGAGAGGGATTCGATCCAGACGATTCTACACGCGTACTTCAGGTCATGATGTTGCAGACATCTCTTCATAAGCCATCCATCAAGGAGAAGGAGCTCGGTGGCATGGAAGCAATATTGAGCAGAAGTTGCGACTGTGAAGCTCGAAGTCGAAGCAGGACCGGATGACGAAGGCACGGTTTAGGGATCTCTGCGATTTGGCCCGTGCTTGGGAAGACGTGCGGCAAAGACTTCTCTTTCTCACTGTAGGCTCAGTTCATCAGCAACAATCGCGGCATTGACGGCGGCAAAGACCTGCCACAGGCCAATGTGCCAATGGGCGTGCTTCTGCGACTCCTTGTCTTTGTGCTGGCCTGGTGCCCTGTCCCCCCGTGCTTCAGGAATACCTGGAAGCCTTATACGACATCGCAGCTTGATGTTAAGAAGCACATAGCGAAAGCCGTGAAAGCGCAGTCCCGAGGTCTTGAAAAGCCCTTTCTCCCTTCAAGAAGACGAGGATGGTCACAGCCACGCAAGATCAGCCTGCGCACCCATCGCGTTTACGGCGCTTCACTTTGACAGGACGCGAGGGGGCGTGCCGAGCCAGCGGCCCTGACAGTGTCGAAACGCGTCGCAGCTCTCACTCGCGGTGTGTCGTTCCGGAAGGTCTCAAGCCGCGCGGAGTGCGGCACAGAAGGGGGAGCTCTTCTTGCGAGAGGCTGGCGGCGCAGCAGGGCGCTGGCTCAGGGCGCAGCAGCTCCCGGGAGTCGCTTGCAAGGCTTGGAAGCTGGTGGCCAAGGCCGAGGAGACGATGGCCTCGGAAGGCTCGCGAGTCGCGAGAGTCGGTCGCGATGTCTGTCTTTCCCCCCCCCCTTCCCCGCCCCGCGGTTTTCTGTGTTTTTTCTTGATGCCTCTCCCAGGTCTTTTTGTTCTTGAGGTCTTTGCAGTCAGGTGAGACCTCGCGGTCCTTGAGCCTGCGGGGCGCCGACGTCCGGTCGCTGGCGCGGACGTTGTTCGAGGCCGCCTGCTGGCCGATGCTCGCCTCGTCCCTCGGAAGCCAGAGCCGGAGAGCCGGAGCCGGTGTGAGCCTCTTTAAGAGAAACTTTAGACAGAGTCTTATAAGAGGGACCTACCAGTACTGACCATTACGGACCTACTAAGGCTTTCCGTCGTCCTGGAAACGCAAGAAGAGCCCGAGTGCATCGAGCTTTGTATTACCGGTTTTCAACAGTGCATCCGTGCGGCAGCACGCTGCCCGACTGCAAGAGACTGCGGGCGGGGGTGGCAGACGGGTGGCACGGGAGAAGTTGGTCTGTGACGTGCGAGGCATGCAGATGGATGTGGAGCGAGGCTCAGGGACCTTAGGGACCTCTGTGGAACTTAAGTCTTCTGTGTTTCCCGCGCTCCTGCTGCGTCCAGATGCCATCGTGTCCTCGCTGGCCAAGTTCACTTACCTGACCACTCTTAAAGAGCCCTTTGGTGCAGAGTTTGAGAGTCACTGAACATCGGTCACTCTGCGTCTCTCAGGATGAGGCAGAAGAACATCGAGTGCATCCGCGTGCTCATGGCCATTGGTATTTCGGAGGGCAACAACTTGGGCTCCTCCTGGCAGTACGTGCTCCACTGCATCTCTCAGCTCGAGCGCCTGCAGCTGCTGAGGACGCGCGCCCTGCAGGCCCGGCGAAGCGAAGCTTCTAAGCTCCCTCTCCTTCTAAGAAGCTTCGCGACGTTCGCGAAGCATGAGCATGGGACAGCGCAAGGTCAAACATCCGACGAATTTTTACTGCCAGCACAGTTACATCGTAGCTGTGTTCCCATGACATACATGACATACAGCTGAAGCTGGTCCTTCAAAGCCTGCCTTTTTGATACAGCGTCCCAGAAATCTCACTTGCGAGAGAAAGACAGAGAGAAAAAGACAAGCGAGAAGAAGACGAAGAGCTTTTATGGAGGCGTTGAAGAGCTTTGCTTAGACGGTTTGAGATGCTGTGCCTCTTTGGTTGGAGGACTTCCAGTTCTTTGCCAAAGAGGCGAAGAGCGGGTCCACCAACGGCAGCTTCAGCGGCGGCACACCTCAGGCGAGCCTCCGGCACCGCTCCTATGGCACAGGCCTGGGCGGGGCAAGGGGAAGACTTGGAGAGTCTCTCTCTCGCTCTCGCTCTCTCTCTCGCCTTTGCGCTTTTCGCCCGAGGTTTCTCGGCCGTGATGACGGTGAGCTTGGAGGAGTCGCGCCTGGATTTGCTGAACGCCGAGTCCGTGATGGCACAGATCGACGCGGCGCAGATCGACCTCCTCTTCGACAGGCCGTGGGAAGGGGCGCCGCCGCGTCGTTCTGTTCTCCGCTCCTCCGGCTCCCTCCGCAGGTCTGCGGGCTTGGAGCTGAAGGCGGTGCTGCACTTCCTGAGCCAGCTCATCCAGGCCGGGGGAGGCCCAGCCTCAGCGCTCGCATCTGCTCGCATCTGCTCGCTTTTGCGCCCCGCAGGTCTCCAAGGCGGAACGGGGGGTCAGAGCGATGCGAGACTTGTGAGACTCTGCCACTCTGCGTCCTTCCTTTAACTCGCAGGAGGAGCTGGCCTGTGAAGAGATGCCGCGCCAGAGCCTCGGCAAAGGCAGCGGCCGCGACCTTTGCCACCCTTCTCCCTTGCAAGGCATTTTTTCGCTGCAGAAGTTGGTCGAGGCGCGCGCGCGAGACAACCGTCCTCGCTGTCTGCTCTCGGCTGAAGCAGCGTCCGGGTCTCTGCTTTTTGCTCATTCTGCGAGGTTGCCATTGGTAACTTGATGCGCCCGCCGGAGGCAATGGCTCATGCCTCAGACCGTCATGCAATGCCTGCAACCTGTGTTTTCAGGTTTGGTCGGAAATTTGGCGAACTGTCAGCCGGCATCTAGCCGACGTTGCAAGCCACCACAATGTCAGTATAGGCACGGAACTTGGCTTTGCGCTTGCTACCTGGTGATTTGATCTGTGTGGTGCTAGCGTTTCTTTCAGGTCTCTATGCCATCAACTGCTTAAAGCAGCTGGCGATGAAATTTTTGGAACGTGAGGAAGTGCATCAGCAGGACGGCAGCGCTCTTCGCCTTGCAGTAGATGGTGTGATCTGCCGGAGAGGAAACCTTTGGGCAAGTCTTGCTGGAGCCTTTCGAGAAGTTAATGAAATCCAAGAGTGCCAGTCCCGACGTGAAGGCCAGCATGGGAGCTCGGAGCTTCACGGCTTCTTCATGTGCCAAAGCCAAAAGTGCCCCATGTGTCATGGAGATTTTTCTGGTGCCAGGGGCTCGTGGTATCGAGTGTCGACTTCATGGCCGGAGCTTTGAGCAAAGCCTAGACAGTTGCAAGGGGTGGCAGGGGTGGGGCCCGCTGCGCGCTGCGCAGGTGGAGCACCGAAGCAGCTCCATCAAAGCGGGCTGGGCGCAGGCGCGCTGTTTTTTCTTGTTTAAAGGGCCCTCTCCGGCTCTCCGGCTCGGCGCCTTCGCCTTCGCCTTCGGGGGGAGGTCTTCCAGATCCTGCAGCTGGCGGCCTCGGAGCCCAAGTCCAACAAGGCGCGCAGCCTCCGCTCGAGGTCGCGATTTTTTCTTTTCTTGCGGAGCCTTCCGCTGTTCTCGCCGCCTCGCCTTCTTAGGAAGTCTTAGATGCCGCCTTTGCCATCATGAAGATCGCCGTGGCTTCAAGGTGCCACCTGGACAAGAGGAGAGCCCGCCCCCTTCGCTCACGGTCCTTGACTCCTCGCAAGTTGCAGGAACTTTGCCAAGAGCGTGCATGCCCTGCTGGCTTTCGGCCACTGTCGGTTCCCTGCCATCAGCTTCCAAGCCCTGGGGATGTTGAGGCGTGGCTTGCGTGGCTTGCCGAGAGAAGGGGGAAAAGAAAGAGAGAAGAAGGGGTGAGCGGAGGACGTGGGCCGCCTTCAGAGAGCGAGATCGTCTGAAGTGGACTGGTGCCGCAGGCAGATGGCCGATGACCTTCAATCGGGAAGCGGGACACAGACCGCTGAGACCGAGGAGCGAAGAAATGTTGCGCTTTCGCTGTTTTTCCGTGCTCTTTCCGACAGCTTTGCCTTTGCTTTGTGAGGATTGGCTGTTGTTGCTGAACGGAATGACCTCGATGATCGGGGACCTGCGGCAGGAAGTCTCAGTTCGAGCCACGGTCACCGCACCCCGGCCAGAGCTCAATCAACCACATGTCCTTTTCAGGCAAAGGTAGACCAGGGCTTCTATCTATGCTTGCAGGCTTTCCAATGCCTGCGCGACGTTGGTGCCAAGAGCTTCGACGCCGCGACCTGGTTGAAGGTGGGCGCAGTCCCCCAAAAATCTCCCTCGTGTGGCTCCTTCGTGATCGCCATCGGTGGGCGGGCGGCGGGACCGGGACAGGTCATCGAGAGCGTCGTCGAGCCCGTGTGCGAGAAGGTGACTGGCCAGCTCCAGCAAGGCGCGGCGCGGGGCCCGCGGAAGCCTCCGCATTTTTTGGCAATCAATGGAGGTGCATTTTTTTTGGGAATTCTGTTTTCTTTTTTTTGGATTTTTTTAGGGTTTGGGGCTTAGCGCTGTATTTTACTAGGAAATACTACTTTTTCTTTTTATTTTAAGAGGAAAACTTGCATTTTCTTTATTTTTCGCCAATTTTCTATATTTTCGTAGGAAAACCTGAATTCTCTGTATTTTCATAGTGCAACATGTTTATCCCTGCCCTTTGTACTCACTTATGTGCCATACCGAAGCCCTAAGTGGATCCGAGAAAAGAGTTGCATGGTAGCGGAGCCTCGTAGAGGCCTTGTCTTAGACATAGTGCCCACACGAGCTCCCGGGACCTGTTGGGGAGGGTGACTCCTTCGAGTTCCTCAAGAGGCGCTATGTTCATGTGGGGAAAGGGGTGGCCGTGTACTCCAATGGAAAGTATTTGGAGGCCCTTCTCAAGGCAGCTGGGAAGAAGTGAAACTTCGTGACAGCCCAGCCGACGCCACTTTTCAGGAAGCCGATGACACAAGAGAGCTCGAGGGTCCCAAGGCCAAGATGTTCAAGGAGAGTGTGGGACGGTTGCTTTACCTTTCCCACTCGAGACCAGACATCCAAATGGCGGTGTGTGTGCTAAGCAGCAGCATGTCCAAGCCAACGGGGGGAGCCCTCAAGAAGCTCATGCACGTGATTGGGTACCTGGCTGCGGTCCCGGACATAGGGTTCCTCATTCGGCCAGTTGTGTCTGGGGCCAGGCTTCAGTGGCGTGGGACCCCGGATGATGACGAGATGGTCTATGAGGTTGAGTGCATAACTGATGCCGACTGGGCTGGGTGCCGAAAGACACGACGAAGCCGAAGCTCAATTCAGTTGTTCATCGGTGGCAGCTTCGTGAGCAGTGTGGTGAGATCCCAGAGGTCTATCGCACTAAGCTCGGCCGAGTCCGAGTACTTAGCTTTGGTGGGAGGAGCAGCGGAAGCAATCTACGTCACGGACGTCCTGCGGTTCATCCTGGCTGGGACTGCGGAAGTGAGAGTGATTTGCCGAAGTGACTCGGCCGCTTGCCGCGGAATATGCCAGCGCTTGGGAGCAGGGCGCGTGAGGCATTTGCAGTGCGCTGTCCTATGGGTGCAACAGGCGGTCCGAAACAAGGTCCTTTCGATTGCTTCAATATGCGGTGCCGAGAACACCGCAGACTTGGGGACAAAACCCCTTGGCGGACCCCGAGTTCGTGAACTACTGTTTGCCATGGGTTGCGTCGAGGCCGATGGCAGCCCCTACGGCGAAGCTGATCATGAGATGGCGCAAGGGAAGAGGCAGATTGCAAAGATGATGAAGGATATGAGGGGGACTGGTGCCAAGGTTGGTCGAGTCAAGAGCCTCCTTCCACTGATCCTCCTCCTTACCCAGATTGAGGAGTCCCAGGGCTTGAGCCTGATGCTTCCTGCACTCGCCCTCTATGATGAGGAGTGGCTGGTGGCATTGGCTGCGACGATTGGGTTGGTGGTGTTTGGGGCAATGGTGGTGTATGGCATTCCCTTGGGCATGTTGGGGCTACTTAAGTGGAGCCTCAGCCTTTTCCGTGCCCGAGGCGGGGAAAGCAATGACCGTGAAGAGGCCGGAGCCAAAGTTCAAAGAGATCGAGGAGTCCAAGTGGACCGTGGCATGAGCAAGAGCGAGGCTAGGTTTGCGAATGAGTATGTCGATCGCTGTACAGAGCTTAAAGGGATTTTGAGCGAGCGATGCCGGGAGATCGAGCAGTTTGAGCAGACTGTTCGCGAGCTCGGTGCCGAGAATTTTAATTTGAGGGCCCAGCTGGACCATGCGGAACGTGCACAGATCGTTCCACCTGAGATATCACCTACCGACATGCGGCAATGTTCGTAGGACAAACTATAGGACCTACACACCTTGCTTGACTTGTATGGGCCGCGGTGGGTGACCTCAGCTTTTGCTTTCTCCAAACGACAAAGGTGCCTGCAAGTGCACCTCTTGTCGAGGCGGGGTGCAACATGTTTATCCCTGCCCTTTGTACTCACTTATGTGCCATACCGAAGCCTTAAGTGGATCCGAGAAAAGAGTTGCACATAGGAAAATCTGGATTTTTTTACTTTCACAGACAAAACCTTCATTTTCTCTATATTTTAATAGGGAGTCTTAATTTTCTCTATTTTCTTTTGTTAGCAATAACTATCATCTGTCTGTCGTAGCTGG